GTCCCCCACAGTCCTGGGGGTGAGCAGCAGCCACTCAGTGCCTCCCCGCGGTCCCGCCCTGCCCATACATGAATAGGGGACCCCCAGCATCTTTTTTTTTTTTTTTATGAGACGGAGTCTCGCTCTGTCGCCCAGACTGGAGTGCAGTGGCCGGATCTCGGCTCACTGCAAGCTCCGCTTCTCGGGTTCATGCCATTCTCCTGCCTCAGCCTCCCGAGTAGCTGGGACTACAGGCGCCCGCCACCTCGCCCGGCTAGTTTTTTGTATTTTTTAGTAGAGATGGGGTTTCACCGGGTTAGCCAGGATGGTCTCGATCTTTCGTGATCCGCCCGTCTCGGCCTCCCAAAGTGCTGGGATTACAGGCTTGAGCCACCGCGCCCGGCCCGGGGACCCCCAGCATGTTGATTCTTGTAAAGGGAAAGACAAATGTCAGCTGTTTAGGTTATACGAGCTGGTCTGACAACTAGAGCAGAGGAATCATGGACCTTAACAATCAACTCTTAACTCCACGCGGAAGGCCACACAGGCAGTCCCTGCGAGCTCCGTGATGGAATCACACGCCTCCAGAGCTGCCAACCTGCCAGCGGGGAGAAGGAGCCCCCGGCTCAGGACAGCAGCCATCCCCAAGATGGAGCCCGAAGCATGGGTCCTGTCCCCCACCTCCCTGCATCACCTCTGCAGTGTCTTCCTCTAACACGTTTCCTTCTCACCCCACAGAACTGGGATCCAGGAGCAAAATGCCAAGAGCCAGACCTGCTTGTCCTGAGAAAACTGTCCGCTCTTCACTTGAAATGATGTCCCTATTTCTACCCCGGCCAGAACATGGACAGAGGCCAGGAGCCTTCCAGACAGGTGCTGCTGCTCCGAGTGGCAGGCCAGCTTACACTGCTGCATGACAGCTCGGCCGCCCCTCCACGCGTGGAAGCTGTGATGGGCAGAGCCCCAAAACAAGCAGCCTTCCAACTAGAGACTCGGGGGTGTCTGAAGGGAGACACCTTCCCTGCCCGCTGGGGAGCGGCACCTGAGTGAAATCGGCTTTCTTCTCAGACTCTGTCCCTGGTAAGCAGTGACAGGGAAGCTCACAGCTGGGCGAGTGCATTTTGAATAGTTCTTTGTAAGTAGTGCTTTTCCTCCTTCCTGACAACTCAAGCGCTCCGGCCTCTTCTGTGCAGCCTCCACCCCTGCGGATCCCTCAGGGGAGGCACAAGAAGAGGACTCCCAGGGACCTCTGCAGCCGTGGTGGTCAGAGGCTACTCACCTGAGCACAAAGACAGCTCAGTGCATTCACCACAGCTGCCAGCCAGGGTGACCACTGACCCACAGCCTCACCCCACTCCCTCTGTCTTACGACTCCCCTCCCCAACCCCCTCATCTAAAGACACCTTCCTCTCCAGAGAGCAGGGACCACCAGCTGTCAAGCCCACAGGGCACCAGTGCCAGCCAGGGCCCTGCACAAAGGGATGCCTAGTAAACCTTAACCAACTTGGTTTTTTGCTTCACCCAGCAATTAAACGTCCCAAGCTTAGGTAGTATCAGCCCATCACAGTTCATCTTCTAACCCAAGAGTCAGAGATGGGGCTGGTCATGTTCCTTTGGTTTAAATAACTCCCTTGACTAAAACAGACTCCTCTAGTACTTGGAGATCTTGGGCATACACCTAATCCAGTGGGACCTCGGCTTCCTTAACTACAAGTGAGAAGAGGAGGTCCACCCAGGAGCCTCGGGTCTGATCAAGGGAGAGGCCATGCGGAGCTCACTGTGGCGGCTCCCTAAGAAGGTGAAGCAGTGTGGGAACACATCTTGAGGACAGGGCCTTTCTCCACACCATTTGATGCTGTATCTTCTGAGAGCATAGGCATCAATGGTCCAAGCCACAGAATCTAAGTCTGGAAGAGCAAAGGGAAGTTACTAGTACATGAGGTGGGGTAATCCCAGAATCGTCTCAGCTTTCTACCCACCACCACCACCTTCCAACCAGGCCTTGCCTTCTGAGAGCCCCCGTGGCCAAGCCCAGGTCATAGATCTTCCCCTTACCATGCTGGGAATCCAGAAACAGGGACCCCATTTCTCTTCCCACATCTGGTGGAGGTGAGGGGGCTCCTCAAAAGGGAACTGAGAGGCTGCTCTTAGGGAGGGCAAAGGATCTGGGGCAGGCAGTGTCTCCCATCCGTGCCTTTTTAAATAAAAGCTCTTTCATCTATAGTTTGGCCACCATACAGTGGCCTCAGAGCAACCATGGCCTACTTAAAAACCAAACCAAAAATAAAGAGTTTAGTTGGGGAGAAATGAGTCTTTAGAAAACTGTTTTTCAAGGGGTGGCTGACTTGGGTGATGCATTTCAAAAAGATGTTTGGTGATGCGATGGAATAGAAGCATTTTAGTCTTCAAGGCGTCGTTGTTGAGTTCCTGCCTTGGCTAGTGAAGGCAACCCACTGCTCCCCCAGCCAGTGCTCAGGGGGCTGGTGTCCATTTCCCCCGGCTGTGGAGGACGCACTTCCGTGACCTGGACAACCTCCCCATTCCTGCATCCCAGCAACCTGCTAGAGCAGGGCCACCCCTTCCTCTCACCTGTGTGTCTCTCAAACCCTGCCCATTCCCTAAAGTAAATTATGTTCCTGGGTAAATCATGTGACCTGGCCAATGAGTGTTTGGGCGTGCAACCCCTGATTCTAGCACATTAGGTCAAGGATACCAAGGACCAAGCAACAAGTCTAGCTTTCACATTGTCACGTGGCCGGGCATGGTGGCTCATGCCTGTAATCCCAGCACTTTGGGAGGCCAATGTAGAAGGATTGCTTGAAGCCAGGAGTTCCAGACCAGCCTAGGCAACAAAGTGAGACCCCATCTCTACCAAAAAGAAAGTTTTCAATTCGCTGAGCATGGTGGCACATGCCTGTAATCCGTTATTCAGGAGGCTGGTGCAAGAGGATCACTTGAGGCCAGGAGTGAGGCTGCAGTGAGCCATGATCTTGCCATTGCACTCCAGCCTGGGCAACAGGCTTTTTTTTTTTTTTTTTTTTTTAAATATACAAATAATTAGCCAGGCATGGTGGCACACACCTGTAATCCCAGCTACTCAAGAGGCTGAGGCAAGAGAATCGCTTGAACCTGGGAGGTGGAGGTTGCAGTGAGCCAAGATGGCACCAATACACTCCAGCCTGGGAGCCAGATGAGTGAGATTCTCTCAAAAAAAAAAAAAAAAGTTATCATGCACCCAGGGATCTGGGAGTATGGAGAAGAGAGAGCTGTAAAGACGTGACATTCATATGGCCTCACCACATCCAGCAGAGCAGTGTCCTAAGCTAGGAATCTAGAGACTCTAAATTTGATGCTTAGGGTCTGTCCCCCTGCAGCGGGAGGCCCACTGTAGTCTGGTGAAAGGCAGCCAGTGATCTCCCAGGGATGCAGGGAGGGAGGCGCGAGGAGTGCCTGTGTGTGCTGCCCTCTGAGGTGAGGTGGCCAGGGAGAGCGGGAGGTAAAAAGCACGGGGTGGGACACGTGGGCTGACCAGCTGAGGCAGCTCATGACGGTCCTTCTTAGAAACGTCGGCCCCTCCGTGCCCCCTGCCACCACTCTGGCACCAACCCAAGGCAAGTGACCTATGTGCCTAGAGGGAGATTTGCAGCCTCTTCCTACAAAGCCAAATTGCTTCCAGCTGTCCCTGATGTGCTGTGTCCTCAGCCTTGGACACCTGCAGGGCAAGGCCAGAGTTCAGCTAGGGGTGAAGGGCAGTAAACATTTGACCGGAGCCCAGCGACTCTCAACTCTGTCCTCGGGAGGCACTTCTGGCACCACCAAGGCAGTGGGGAGGAGCCCCTGCGCCTCTGAAATCCAACTGACCCAGTCCAAGTCCCACCTCCTCCCAAGGCTGTGCAAGATGCTCACCGAACCTCCCGCCCTGTGGTTTCCTCCCATTTAAACTGGGGATGAAAGGGCTGTTGCGAAGACTCCAGGAGATAATGCGCCTGAAAGCACAGCACAGCCTGCAGCCCTGCTGAGTATTTAACACTAGTGATTCAGGGCATCTCTAGGCATCCTCCGCAGGCGGCCACCCCTGTCACCTTGCAGGGAAGGAGAGGCGGAGGGCTGACTTGAGGGACTGTTAGAAGTCCGGTCTAAGGACTCCCTCGAAGCTGCCCGTCCTGCTGAGCTGAAGACGCCCCCCCCCCACCAGCTGCGGGATAGGCAGCTCAGCAGCAGACCTCAGGGCGACACTGGGGAGGGAGGCAGGCTGGGCCAAGGCCTAGAAGACCGTTGGTGCCACAGCCAGTTTAGCGGCCCGCTGTCCCTCTGAGCACATCCTGCAAGCCCAGGTTAGAATTAGATGGGTCTCAGACAAGCCCAGGTTAAATTTGATGGGTCTCAGACAAGCCCAGGTTAGAATTAGATGGGTCTCAGACAAGCCCAGGTTAGAATTAGATGGGTCTCAGACAGGCCCAGGTTAGAATTAGATGGGTCTCAGACAGGCCCAGGTTAGAATTAGATGGGTCTCAGACAGGCCCAGGTTAGAATTTGATGGGTCTCAGACAGGCCCAGGTTAGAATTTGATGGGTCTCAGACAGGCCCAGGTTAGAATTAGATGGGGATGGGTCTCAGACAAGCCCAGGTTAGAATTAGATGGGTCTCAGACAGGCTGACATGCCGATGTCCCGCCAGTCCGGCAGGTGGCAGGATCACGGCACCTCCCGAGCGGGCTGAGGACCAGACGCCCCCTCGTGGCATCCTGTGGCCTTGCACACCATTGCTCTCGGTCCAGGACAAGGCAAAACGCAGGCTCCAACAGGAAAACCGCTAAGAAGGAAAGTGGAAGAGCGGGAGAGGGAAGGTAAATGCTCCCAGGGCCAGCCCTGGGGTGAGCAGGCAGAGGAGGGCTGACATCCAGACATTGGGACGTGAATCACAGAGGCCCTTCCAGAGAGCATGATCTGAAGGCCGCAGAAGAAATCAAGGCACCCACATGCAGCCACGTCTTCACTCAAACCCACCAACACCACACCACATGTGACTCATCAAAGTTTATTATGGCAATTAATTACACAAACATACAGGCGGTCGGTCATCCAGCTCAGAAGCACTCAAACCAGTAGAGTCCATTAGTGATTTCTCTTTATAAATAACTTAGGAGAAGCAAGCACATTTGGTAAAGAACCGGCACCGCTGACCGAGCGTCACGCAGATGGCACGTAGGCCGGGGAGGGGCAGGCACCAGAAGGTCAAGGTCCCTCCTTGGCCCCAGCAGCCCCGGGCCCACCAGACGCTGGGTCCTCAGGTAGTGGACATTTCAAGGCACGTACAACTTCCTAAGCAATAGCAGCTCCAGGCTCTTCCCTGAGACCTGGTTTACCTCTGGAACAACCAAGTTAACACTCATCACACCCCTTTGTCTATTGTCTTCATTCTTATTACTGAACATGCCCCAAACCCCAGAGTGCAGGGGGCTGCATATTAAACAGAGCCATAATCCCCACCCTTTACATTCTGAAGACAGGGAGGTGCGAAAAAACTGCCCCTAATGTAGTGATGGTGTTTTTTAAAAAGCACCATTTGGGAAGTTACGTTAGGGCCTCTTTTGATGCCTTAGGATGGACACCGGGGGTGGGAGGTTTACATCAAAGGAGTGAGGGGCAAGGGAGGGAAAGGGAGGGGGCTGCTTGTGAATGAGATTCAAGGCACTAAAGGAGTGGATGGATGCGTGGGCCTCGGGCAAAGTCACCCTAAAGTGGGGGGTCCCAGAGGAGAGAAGGGTGGCTGGGGAGGTGACCTGGCCCTCCACTCCTAAACGAGCCCCAATGTGACCACAATCTCCAGGGCTAGAGCTGCTCCCTTCCCTCTGGCCAGAGGGCCCAAGGCAGCCCCCTGGGTTCTCCAAATAGTGCAAGCAAGGTCTGGGGACAATCTTCACAACCCCCAGCCTTCCTGCTGCGCTGGCGCTGCCGCCACTCAAACAGGACACAGGACAAGCTTGTCTGACATCAGGTACTGGAGTTAAATTATGGCTTTATAGGACTCAAACTTGTTGTTTTTCCCAACTCTGTTCTCTCCCTCCAATCCAACCCCTGCCACAGCGCGTGGGCAGGCTAGCCTTGAATGGACTGGACAGACACCAACAGCTGCATCCCTTGGCATGGGGCTCCACGTCAAATACGCCAAACCCCAGGGGAGCCGGAGGGGCTGGAGACCCGGGGCCTCCTCATCGAGATAACTCTGCACTGGGTTCAGACGGCCCTGAGCGCAGCCGCAAGTAGATGCTCATAAATGGGCGCACACGCTCACTCACACAGACACCGGCGAGAGGTGCCGGACTCCAGCCTGGCTAGCACCGCTGCAGCCAGGCACTGGAAGTAGGGGCTTCTAGGAGGACCTCCGGCCAGAAGGCCAGCAAGTGCCGTGACCAGTCACACTGCCCAGTGCCTTGTCCCTCCAAGGCCTCTGGGTGCCAACGCAAGTCCACAGGGAGCACCAACGCCACCTCCAGTTGACCCTCGAATCTCGGCGATGGCTGGGCCAAAGGTTGAGCGTGGGTGGGACTCGGGAGGGGCCGAGGGCCAGGAGTACGGCTAATACCCAGGCCAGGCGGGCCCCGGGGGCGGTGGAAACCCATAGGGAGGGGCGGGCCCGGGGGGATAAGGGGGCTGCGGGGGCAATGAGGGCTGGGGCTGGCCTGGGAAGCTGGGGAGCTGGGGCTGTATTGGGTAGGGTGGTTTTCCTCCTGTTGCAGGGTATGGAGACTGTTGAGGATAACCAGGACTGGGGGCCCTGCCTCCCGCCAAGGGGTACCCAGGCCCAGAGGTGCCAGTCGGGGTCCCAGGATAGCCCGACCGGGGTGGCGTGCTCCTCTGTGGGGACCAGGAGTAACCCACGGCACCCCTGGGTCCAGGCTGGGCTGCCGGGTAAGTGGGGCCCAGAGGCCCACTGTAGAAGGAGGGCTGGGACACCACCGGGAAAGGGGCTGGTGGCAGGGCTCCATGGGCAGTGGGGCCCACAGGCAGGCTGGGGGACGGGCTGTAGGGCAAAGGGTAGGGAGGCATGGCTGATGGTGGCTGTGGCTGCTCTTCAACCACAGGGGGCGTTGCCTGGGGGACTGGGCGCGCAGGGGGTGGCGGGCGGGGTGGGGGAGCATCGCCGGCCAGCTCCTGGGAAGCCCTGGGCTTCCTCACCACTTCCTGGAGCTTTTCCACGCGAACCCGGCGCAGGTGGGACAGCATCCTCATGGAGGAAAAATTCTCCAGGAACGTTTCCAGGGGCACCTCGCCCTCCAGGAACTTCTCAGCCATGGCCTGGAAGACATAAGGTCCAGTGACAACAGGGGCCAGCTGGGATCAAGGTCTCTGTTTTTCCCCAGGGTCCAAATTCAGCTACAGCCCTCCCACCTCGCGCTGCCTCGGGCACCCCCTCCTCCTCCCTGGCCATATGCCCCGTCTCACAGCTGACAGATGGTACATGCACTGTCTCCCTCACTAGAACGTCAGTCCCTCGAGGGCGAGAACTGCCTCTGTCATGGTCACCTCTGTCCTGGCACCCTGGCATCAGGCCAGGCCCACAGTGGCCACTGCATGTATGTACTGAACACCTGGCCGAGCACTAGCCCAGGACTGGCAGGGCCTGGAAGCTTCTTCCACCCAAAGTGGACAGCACCAGTTTGCCCACAGAGGCTGAAGAGGTGGCCCGGACGGAAGCGGGAAGCAAGGAGAGCAGAGTGGGGGGCTGGCCTCAGCCCCTGAGGGCCTCCTGCTGTGCTGCCCTCTCATCCAGGGCTGCAAGCTGCCCTTGTCCACTATCACTCGTTTCTGCTTCAGCTAGTGGGACTGAGTTCCTGTTATCTGTACCCAAAAGGCCTCCCCAGGACTAAAGATGTCCTTCACCTCTGCCATCTACGAAAGCTCCTTTGTCCCATGCTTTGCAGACATTTGCTCCTCCTTCCAAGGGCCCCTGCTGCAGGGACTGACACCCCGTCGAGGGAAGAGGGGCGTCGCCTTGCCCTCTCACCTCGGACTCTTCTTCAATCTTCATGCCTTCTACCTGCAGAAGGTCTAACAAGGTCCCTGGCTGCAGTGCTGAAGAAAATTTCTCTGGAAGGGAGGAGGGAGGGCAGAACGACTGGCATTTGAAAAGTGCTTCCTGATTCGGTGTTAAAGGCACTTACCATGCCCTCTGTGTGCATCCAAGCCCAGCCACCACCCCAGGGTCCACCAAACGGTCCTTTCGGGTGGGCTTGATGGGCACGTTTGGTCCAGTTCCTTAGACTACTTTCCTGAGCAGAGAAGGGCCCGACTGAACCCAGCCTCGACCTTGGCCAAGCCTCCCCTGTACCATCCTGGGAAGGGAAACGACTCGGGCTTCAGAGCCCGACCGACCCGGTTCTGCCTGCCAGCCAGGGGAGTCATCTAACCTGAGCGTCAAGTTGTCTCACCATCAGGACGACTGCCCTCCCACCTTTAAACGTGACAGGTCCTGGGACACAAAGAGCCCAGAGCAGCTCAGGAGCAGCTCAGCAAAGCAGAGAAGCCGAGCTGCCAGGGGTAACAGCGGCAGCAAAGGATGCAGGCTGTCTGGATTCAAATCCCAACTCCACCTATTTCTAAGCTGGGTGACCATAGCCAAGTTCTTGAATCTCTCTGAGCCTCATTTTTCTTACCTACAAAACGGAGTAACAACAGTACCCACCCTTCTACGGCTGTTGTCAAAAACTGTACATAAAGCACTTAGCACAGGGCTGGGAACACGGTGGGCCTCAGTAGCTATGGGACAGGGAATCCATCCTTCATGCTGTTCCAGCTGCTCAGCCCCATCCAACCCTGAATGGGGACCCTGAGTTCACAGAGGAGCCACCCTACCCAGCTTTGCCTTCTGCTCCTGGCACCGCTCCACAAGCTTCCGGAGCTCCTGGTATTTATCTGAGAGGTTTGAGCGGCTGATCTCCAGGGGGCCCTGGAACTCCAAGTTCTGCTCCGCCAGGCTCCGGTTGGTGGCCAGTGCCATCTCCCGTTCCAGCTGCAGGTCCTGGACCTAAAAGGACAGGACAACAGAACCTAAGGAAAACGTCCATCACCCTGAACCTCCTGGCAGCCTGGGTCAGGGCCTTCAGGGCACATCCTCACCTTGGGGTGGAGAGGCTCATCCATGGGCGATACTCAGCCCTCAACTAGTCAGACAAAGCCAGGTTCAAACCCTGAACGAAGTACTCTGCACCTCACTTAATCTTTTAACCCACAGCCACGAGGTGGAGACGCATGGGAACCTGAAGCTAAAGGTGAAGAGCTCGCCCAAGGCCATGTGACTGATATCCACAATGGAGTGTGCAGAGCCCCAAGGAGGGGCTGGACCAATTTACATGAGAAAATCAGAGGCTTTCTGGGAAGGGACCAAAAGTCCCAATTACTTATCCCCAAGCTTCAGAGTGAAGAGACCTACCATGGTGCACTCAGGTGGCCCTGGCCAGATACACAGGCAAGACATGCAATGAGGCCCCAAAGTTATTGTGAGGGGTGAGAGAGCCAGGGCCCTGGACCAGACCATGCCACTGACTTAGGAGAGACCTGGACCTGCCTCCTATGTGGCACGTGTGTCCTGCAGAGAAGCTGCACAGATGAGCCAGAGGGGCCACCCTGGACATTCCCTGCTGCAAACACTTCCCCAAGCCAAGTGGCACACTACTCCTCTGCCAGCTCTTCGTCACTGTCAGCCAGTGAGGCAGAAGCCAAGGCACCCTTCCCAGCTGCTGTGATCTCATGCCCCGTGAATCCACCAAAGAGTCCTCTTCCTGACAGGAGGGCTGAGGAGCCAGACCCGCACGCTGAGCCAGCGGTGACAGTACACTGACAGCAGCATGGGGCACCAGAAGACAGGCCTCGGCACCTGCCACAGGGCGCAGGGAACAGCTCAGCAAGACCGACTCTGAGTCAGGCCCTCACTGTGCAGCTTCTCTGTGCAGCTTCTCCACCATGGTCAGCGTGTGACAGACCAAGCCGGACTGGCTCATGCCCCACCAGACATAGGAAGCCCATGGGCATTCTGAAAGAGGAGGCTTCAGGGAAAGGCTGCTCCTCCTGCTGTCCCAGCTACAGGGGCCTAGGCCCTGCACTCTGGGGCAGGCCCATAGCCTCTTCTTTGTGCTCCAGATTGGAAAGAGGAATGCCACAGCTCCCTGCCCTTCCTGAGCCCTCCAGACAAGGCTGCCACGGTTCAGGGATTGTAGGGCCCAGGGGTCTATCCAGCCTAGAGCCCATGCTGCTGCCTTCTAGAGACATGGTCTCATTCTGTCGTCTAGGAGTGCAGTGGCATGACCATAGGTCACTGCAGCCTTGAACTCCTGAGCTCAAGCAATCTTTCAGCCTCAGCCCTTCCAGTAGCTGGGACTACAGGCACGTACCCCCACGCCTAAGTTCTTTTATTTTCTGTAGAGATGGGGTTTCCCTATGTTGCCCAGGCTGGCCTCGAGCAATCCTCCCATCTCATCATTCCAATAGCTGGGATTACAGGCACTAACCACCATACGTGACTCTCAATCTAATTTTTATTAGCCATGGAAACTTTATTTCCATGGCTGACCCAGAGTGAAAGGCCTAAAGCCCTCCCGCTCACCCACCCCTTGCAGGGCCCCATGGACCCTCTGGCCTTCCTACACGTCCACTGCCTTTTCATTGTGTCTAAACCAACAAATCTACGCTGTATCATTTTCCCCTAAATCTTTCCCTACTTATTTCTGCTCCCTGTCCCCACAGCCTTCTGACATCTTTCTCCATGAAGTGGGTCAATGGGTAGAAACATACAGTTAGAAGAAATAAGTTCTAATGTTCAACAGCAGAGTAGGGTAACTATGGTCAGCAACAATGTATAGTATATTTCAAAGTAGCAAGAAGCATAAAATGTTCCCAACACACACAAACCACAAATACTCAGGGTGATGGAGACCCCAAATGCCCTGACCTTATGATTACACATTCTTTTTTTTTTTTGAGACAGAGTTTCGCTCTGTTGCCCAGGCTGGAGTGCAATGGC